TAACAATATTTGGCCACAAAAAAAAAAAGATTTAAAACAATAATTTAAAAAAAAAACAAATAATTTTTTTTTTCTGTTTTTTTTAATGAATAATAAAATTATGATATTTGTTTTTTGGCTTCTCAAGATTAATCTAGTTGGTCGAAACATTGTTAAAGGAGCTCATATTGCTTTTTATTGTTTTTGTTAAAGGAGCTTATATTGCTTTTTACTGTTTTGGTGGGGTTGAATGCTCCTGTCTCTGATTTTGAAATAAAAGATAGCTTGTTTACTATTGGTGGCTTAAAAACTCCTGGTCCTGATGGCTTTCCTGCGGTGTTCTATCAAACTTATTGGGACCTTTGTTCTAATGACATTACTTCCCTCATTAAGGATTGTTTTGCTACAGCCTCGCTTCCTGACCAATTGAATTCTACCCTAATTGCCTTGGTCCCTAAAGTTGAAAGACCTGTGACTATGTCTCAACTGAGGCCTATTAGTCTGTGTAACACCCTTTACAAGGTAGTCTCCAAGATCCTCGTTGCCAGGCTCAGACCTCTTATGTCCAAATTGGTTAGCCCCACCCAAGTGAGTTTCGTTCCGGGAAGGCAAATTGTTGATAATATTGTTGTTGCTCAGGAAGTCTTGCATAAATTCAAAATGACGAAAGGAAAAACTGGCTTCATTGCCTGGAAAGTTGATCTCTCCAAGGCTTATGATCGTCTAAGTTGGAGGTTTATCAAAGATGTGTTGTGGGAGATTGGTTTGAGAGGCAGATTCCTTGAGTTGATAATGCAATGTATCAACTCTGTGGATTATAAAGCTATCCTTAATGGTGAATTAACAGCTGCTTTCTCTCCTACTTGTGGCATTCGTCAAGGAGATCCTCTTTCTCCCTACATCTTTGTTTTATGCATGGAAAAGCTTTCTCATATCATCCAAAAGAAGATTCATGATCATGACTGGAAGCCTCTTCAGGTTAGTCGGGGTGGACCCTTTATCTCCCACCTTTTCTTTGCTGATGACCTTATTTTGTTTGGTAAAGCTTCCACTAATCAAGCTTTTTTAATGAAGAACTGCTTGGATGAGTTTTGTCATCTCTCTGGCCAAAGGGTGAGCTTTGAAAAGTCTGTTATTTGTGTCTCTCCTAAGCCCATTAAATTTGGACCGGGCTAGCCCGGCCCGGCCCATTGACGAGCCCTACTTCCAACAATGAAACCCTTGCCATGGCAAGGGGGGGCTAGGGCAGCTACTATTCACATAAATAGTGACTGTCCTTGCAAAAAATATTGTGTGTTTCCAGCAATTATCATGGCAAAGGGCAAATACTATTCATTTTTTTGTTTTTTTTTTTTTCACAAATTACCTCAACGCACAGCATACATGTATATATGGTTACATACAAATTAAAAAATTTCTACCAACACACTAAAGTGAAAACAATGAAATGTTTCGGAAAAATTGTTGATTTTTTGGCTATGGAAGTAGGATTGGCAATGGATCGTGTTGTATCGGGTTCGTATTGTGTCAAGAATGCTCAACCCAAATTCGACCCATTTAATAAACTTGTCATGTCGGATTCAAGTCGTGTTAAACATGTTACCTATTTAATAACCTATTTAACACATAATTAAACATGTCACATGTTTGATAGGAGGTTGAATTCAAATAAAGATGAGATTTAGAATGAGGAGATCAACTTAAGGTAAGGATTTTCATTTGGGTGGGTTGAAATCTACTACCATAGGGTACACAGTGGAATAGAATAGAACATATTTATTATTATTAATAAAATAAAAAATAAAATAGTAAACGTGTCAAGTAGGTCATTTCGCAAGTTGATCCTAAATTCACCCGTTTATTAAATGTGTCATCGCGGGTTGATTCGAATTTGATATGCAATTTTAATCGTGCGGGTTGACTTGCTAATTTTTCGTGCGGGTTTCGAGTCGTTCATCTGGTCGTGTCGGAAATTGCCGCCCCTATGTGGAAGAAGACTGAGCGTACACGTTGGCAAACTTAAGTGGGTCCTACAATGGCTCTCAAAAGTAGAGAGTGAAACGACAGCGTTTTGGTTTTATTTGCTTTCCTGCTTTGTATCTCTAGCAGCTTTTTAGTTTGGGACCTGTGGGAAGTTGAGTTGGGGCTGAAAGAAGAAGTAAGAGAATGAGGGGGAGGACGAAAGTGAATGCGATGAGATCAGGAGTTGTGGTGCTTGGAGCACTGGCATTTGGGTACCTTACGCTACAGCTTGGGTTCAGGCCCTTCCTTGAAAGAGCTCAACTTGCTGTTGATGAGTCTGAGCCGCCATCTTCCTCCTCCTCAGAACAACAACAGCTTAACTCAAGCTCAACCCGCCACTTCTAAATCAACAATACCCACTACCCAAAGCCTCACAACTCTCACTTGTTTCGCAATTTTTGTTTCTTTCCTTTTTCTTTTTTTTTCTTTTGTTGGATTGGGAAGTTTTACTGCACTGCGCAACAGGGTTTCTTGCTGACCCAGAGAATTACTTGGGCCATTGGTGCTCTGAAAGGTATTGAATTGAACTTGATTTCATTGATTTAATGGTATTTATGATGGATTTGGATTTATGTTTCGGCCCAAATTTAAAATATATTAAGCAGAAAGAAAGAGAAGTTAGCTAAAGGGATGTGCTTTTCAATTGGTTTAATGGGTTCTTCTGAAGTAAATTCTTACATTCATATTTAGATGAGAATTATCAAGATCATCACCCATCTTCTGGTTGTGCTAGAAATTGAGTTTTATCCAGTGAGTGGACTAAAGAGGGGGATTGGTCAGGACACTTCCTGTCCGAGATGCTCCTCTCATGTGGAATCCCTTGATCATCTGTTTATTGATTGCACTACTACTCAATTAATTGGGAAGGATTTTTGGGAGGATGTTGAGGCTCCTAATTTCCCAATGGTTGACTTTGATTCTTGGCTTCTTAAAAACTTAAAATCCCACAGAACCTTTCATAGTATTCCTTGGTCGTTGGTCTTCACAGTTTATATTTGGTTTGTTTGGAAATGGCGTTGTAAGGTGGTCTTTGAACAGAATTTTTCGACTCCGCCTAACTCTCGTCAAATAATTTTGAATTATGCTATGGACTGGTTTACTGTTTGTAATCATACTCCTGATTCTGTTGTGATGCGTCTGATTCAGTTACATTGGATTGCTCCCAGGCATGGGATCTGTAAAATCAATACTGATGGTAGCAGGAAAACTGAAACGGGTTGTATTGGTGCTGGTGGTATCTTGAGAGACTCCACTGGCAAGTGGTTAAATGGTTTTTCTGTGAATCTTGGGGTTGGGACAATCCTAGAGGCTGAACTGTGGGGTGTTTTTTGGGGCCTCAAGTTGGCTTGGAATATGGGTTTCAGAGTTGTGGAAGTTGAATGTGATGCTAGCTCTGTGGTGGCCCTCCTTCAGAATGCTCCTATGTATGATCATCCTCTTTTTAGTCTTCTAAACTGCTGTCATCTGAAGCTTCATGATGACTGGACTTGCTCTCTTACCCATATCTACCGTGAGCAAAATCGTGCTGCTGATCTTCTGGCTACCAAAAGCTATGATCTCCCTCTTGGACCTCATATTTTTGACTCGGAGCCTGCCTTTCTTAGTACTGTCCTTGCTGCTGATACTAGCAATGTGGCTAGTCCTCGTTTAATTCCCTTACAGTTGCTGTTTCTTTGTTTGGGCGTTAGCCCTCCTTTGCACCAAAAAAAAAAAATAATGTACCTATGAAAAATATAAATATAAATATATTATTTAAATAAAATATAGGTATATTATTTACCAAAACTTTTAAAAAAAAACTAAGTGAGTTACTTTGTAATTGAAATTTCTGTACATTTTTCATAAATTAAAAATAGGTACACAATAATTTATAGAAAATATAGGTACATTATTTACCCATAGGTAAATTATTTTACAATAAACCTATAAATGTGTATGGGTACATTATTTGGAGAGGAAAAATAGGTTCATTTAAAAAAAAATACGTACATTGTTTTACTAGGCACATTATTAGAGGAAAAAAAATAGTTACGTTATTTGGAGAGAGAAAATAGGTTCATTTAAAAAAATTGTTTTTCATAAAACAAATAATAGGTACTTTATTCAAAGAAAAAAATAGGTACATTATGCCATGGCAAGGGGGGGCTAGAGCAGCTACTATTCACATAAATAGTGACTGTCCTTGCAAAAAACATTGTGTGTTTCCAGCAATTATCAAGGCAAAGGGAAAATAGTATTCATTTTTTTGTTTTTTTTTTCACAAATTACCTCAACGCACAGCATACATGTATATATGGTTACATACAAATTAAAAAATTTCTACCAACACACTAAAGTGAAAACAATGAAATGTTTCGGAAAAATTGTTGATTTTTTGGCTATGGAAGTAGGATTGGCAATGGATCGTGTTGTATCGGGTTCGTATTGTGTCAAGAATGCTCAACCCAAATTCGACCCATTTAATAAACTTGTCATGTCGGATTCAAGTCGTGTTAAACATGTTACCTATTTAATAACCTATTTAACACATAATTAAACATGTCACATGTTTGATAGGAGGTTGAATTCAAATAAAGATGAGATTTAGAATGAGGAGATCAACTTAAGGTAAGGATTTTCATTTGGGTGGGTTGAAATCTACTACCATAGGGTACACAGTGGAATAGAATAGAACATATTTATTATTATTAATAAAATAAAAAATAAAATAGTAAACGTGTCAAGTAGGTCATTTCGCAAGTTGATCCTAAATTCACCCGTTTATTAAATGTGTCATCGCGGGTTGATCCGAATTTGATATGCAATTTTAATCGTGCGGGTTGACTTGCTAATTTTTCGTGCGGGTTTCGAGTCGTTCATCTGGTCGTGTCGGAAATTGCCGCCCCTATGTGGAAGAAGACTGAGCGTACACGTTGGCAAACTTAAGTGGGTCCTACAATGGCTCTCAAAAGTAGAGAGTGAAACGACAGCGTTTTGGTTTTATTTGCTTTCCTGCTTTGTATCTCTAGCAGCTTTTTAGTTTGGGACCTGTGGGAAGTTGAGTTGGGGCTGAAAGAAGAAGTAAGAGAATGAGGGAGAGGACGAAAGTGAATGCGATGAGATCGGGAGTTGTGGTGCTTGGAGCACTGGCATTTGGGTACCTTACGCTACAGCTTGGGTTCAGGCCCTTCCTTGAAAGAGCTCAACTTGCTGTTGATGAGTCTGAGCCGCCATCTTCCTCCTCCTCAGAACAACAACAGCTTAACTCAAGCTCAACCCGCCACTTCTAAATCAACAATACCCACTACCCAAAGCCTCACAACTCTCACTTGTTTCGCAATTTTTGTTTCTTTCCTTTTTCTTTTTTTTTCTTTTGTTGGATTGGGAAGTTTTACTGCACTGCGCAACAGGGTTTCTTGCTGACCCAGAGAATTACTTGGGCCATTGGTGCTCTGACAGGTATTGAATTGAACTTGATTTCATTGATTTAATGGTATTTATGATGGATTTGGATTTATGTTTCTGCCCAAATTTAAAATATATTAAGCAGAAAGAAAGAGAAGTTAGCTAAAGGGATGTGCTTTTCAATTGGTTTAATGGGTTCTTCTGAAGTAAATTCTTACATTCATATTTAGATGAGAATTATCAAGATCATCACCCATCTTCTGGTTGTGCTAGAAATTGAGTTTTATCCAGTGAGTGGACTCCCACATGCCCTTTTAAACCTTGATCTCAATTTTTTCCTTGTGGTGTGTAATCATTGGTTAAATTCAATGTAGAGCTATACATTTCAAGGCTTGGTCACATAATGAGAGTATCTGATTCTGAATTGTTTTACTTTGGTTTCTGTTGTTAACAATGGGTTTGTAGTTCCATATGGTTTCCCCCATCCTAACATGCCCAACAAAACTTGTTTATCAGATGAGTAAACTTCACAGTTCATTATGTGACCACAAAAGTTCTTTATGATACATTAGCTATGCATGGCATTTGAATTCCGTGTACATTGAAGAAATATAATGCTCATTTCATATGCGTGTACATTGAAGAAATATAATGCTCATTTCATATGGGTATGTCGAATGTGGCTTTCATCCCTCACGGTCTCAGCTTACCTCACCTCGTGTGCATTCTTAGTATTTCTACGTATGTATGAATGATATCATTGACATGGTACTTTTTTTATAAATGTTAATGTTTATGGCAATATTTTTCCATTTGCTTCCCAACTATTCTATACTCTCTAAGTCTTTAATTTGGAAAGGACATTGCTCGTATACAATGACTTGGCTGGCGCAGTCGGAAAACAACACCTGTGTTCTTTTTCTTTTTGTTCCAAACAACTCTTGATCTCATTTCTTTCCCCCTGTTTTGGTTTTTAACTCAGGTAAAGACTCAAAACAAATCAACGCCTCCTTTTCTTTGTAGCGGTGGAGAGGGTTTGATGTGAAAGAGAAGCAATCAGAGAGGGTAAGGAATGTTATAGCTCAGAGGGCTCAAGCATGTGTTTAGTCAGAGGAAGAAGTTTATGCAGAATTGGTGAATTGGGTTTGATCAAAACTTACAATGTAAAGCAAGGGTCAACACATTCTTTGGTTGCCCTGTTGATGAACACAAGAATTTTTAGCTCCAACTGATGTATGATATCTGTTGATGAACACAATAACTTTTAGTTCGGGATTATTTTTTTAAAATCAAGGGTTGTGGGTAAGTGGATATGCATTGAAGTGGAATACATAAAATGTGTACAATATGGAAGCTGATAGCGGTTTTAGATGGTATTGTTGTGTCGCGTTTTGTTTTGTTTTGGTATTTTTTTGTCAAGGTAATTCATTCCATAAATATGAAAGGGATTACACAGTCAGAAAAAGCAAAATAAAAACCAGCCCAACACTGATAGGTACAAGGCCTCAGCCCAACAGAAATGAAAAACCCTAAAACAAACATCTAGCCCAAAACCAAAACAAAGGAAGAACCCTAGATCTGAGAAGCTACAGTCGCCACTGTCGCCTTGCCGCGCCGCCGTCGCAAGTCCACAACCGCCAGAGATGGGTAACCAGTAACCAGACAAACCATACTGCACTGCATTAGGCTCTACTACAGACTACATCCGTGTAGTAAACTTGTTAACGGAGTTCTATTTTTTTCCAATGCTACTTTTTCTTTCTACTTGATGGTGAATGATGCGTTACATAGATGTCTTTTGGCACAAGAAGATCTGCTACATGATCCGAAGACGTGTTACGTGAAGATGATTTCGGAAATTTTGTTGACAATAGTCTCTCTAATTCGGAAAGGGTAGCAATTTTGGTACTCCTCTTTTAGCCATCTGCCATACAAACAAATATTGTACAATTTCTTCCCGCACAGGTGAGTGCTAAGAACGCAATGCTAAAAGAAGAGCGTTAAAATCACAAACCAATTTCGGATATTGTACAATTTCTTTTCATACAGGTGAGTGCTACATCGATGTTACTACAAAACCAGTGAGTCTGATTGTCGTGCTTGACGCATAAGGGAAATTTAGTAGACAAAACAAACAAATCAGCAAAACCATAAAAATAAAAAAAAATGAAACATGAACATGGCGGGTACGTTAAGCTGTTTGTTTATATTCTACTAATTCATTCTGTCCCCCAGACAAGTGACATGTGATTGAATTTGAACCCCCTAGATATTCCTTCGAATTCCATCCCATGAATGAATCAGAAGAACCATGTTCACGTGTAACTCTTCTTATTTTACTATTTTGCCTTCCATGTGCCATGGTGTTTCCCTTTCACTTGAAGCAATTTCATTAATCTTCTGTTCTGTTAAGAGACTTGAAAGAAAGGGTTGACATATGGGAGAGTCCGTGTAACACATGCATCACTCTTATGTGCAAATCAAGTTTTTAGATCATCATTAAATTTTTTTTTATAAAAAAAATTCCCTAGTGGCAATGCCATTTCAGCTCAAATTCATGACATTTTTCACTAGAATTAGGGAGATTCACTTCCCTTAAAAAACCCTCCTGTTGACATTACAAACTGAGAATTCAAAAGGAGTTTGGATAGTTTGTTGCAATGTTTGTGATTTATTTTTTCTATTTCTACATCTGTTATTGTTGTTTTGTATTTGGGTTGTGTTCTTCCTATCTTTAAATCTTGTATTTTCCCCTTTTCTTAATGAAAAACTTGCCACTTTCACAAAAAGAAAAAAAGGAAAAAGAAAATAAAACAGATCCATTGTGTATTATCCAAGCAATGTCATGCAATTATGACTTATTGACCTTAAGTTTTGTTTTTCAGAAGTTCTGCAATTATTCATTACAACTTACAACAGAGTGCACTCACTTTGCTAGACAATGTTTTGCATTAATTAAAATCATTTTTTTTTTAAAATGAGATTAATTATTATCGATTAGAGACAACAAAACGAATCCCAAACATTTTATTTTAGCTATCACTTGGTACCAAAAGAATAAGGTCAAAATATTGTCACATAACAAACAGTATAATTTTTTTTCCTTCCAGAAAACAATGATATAACAAAACATATTGTTTGGGATTGGGAATAAAATTCGTGCACATCCTGATGGTTCAAAATGTCACAACTTGGTACTCGAATTATAATAAACATGTTTTGTAAGGACAAAAATTATCAAACGTTTAACAAGTTAGCAAGTTGGCCATCACCTTCGCGCAGAGTCATGACTTCATGATGACATTTTTTGATTGTATATCTGTATTATTTGTAAAGTTTGTCTTCAATATATGAAGTCTCTTTCATAAAGGAAAAAAAATATTTGAGGAATTTGAGATGTGTCAAGTTTTAAGAGGTTAGACTTTTAGAATGCTGATTTTTTAGCAGGGCCGGTCTTGAGATTTTGAAGGCCCTGTTCGAACCTTAAACTGGGGCCTCACGTAAGCTAACACAAACTTACACCATTACGTAATGCTATACAATATATATTTTTTTTTTTCCCATAAAGTGACCAAAGTACCTCTACTCCCCAAGGCAAAATTGAAATTTCACAAAAGAATTAAATTGGATTAAATCGATTAAATTGGGTCAGTGATGTTACACCTTTTGAATAATCGCCATGATTGTGACGATGAGTCTTTGTCATCATAGATCATATTCAGATATTAAATATTTTTTAACACCTAATTTATTTTGTATCAATATTCCAAGAACATCATTAATTGGATGCAATTTTTTTGATTGAGTTAGTTGGATGCATTATTTTTGCAAAATTGAATATCTGAGCATATATAAAAACAATCATGTACCACTTTACTAACCACATTTTTAATTGAGGTGAGCCCTATATATGGAAGTCTTATCTCTATGGGCACTTGGAAAAAAAAAAATCTACATGAGTAATTGAAGAGCTAATGTCAAGTCAATGGTGGGGACATATGCACGTGACAAGCAATGTCTAGGAACATAGATATTATTGGGGCCATTAGAATATTCTTGCTGACACTACTACAAAAATTGAAATAGACGACGGGAAAACACCGTCGTCTTTTTCTTTTTCAAACCGTCGTTAAATCGACT